TGTCTTTCTTACCACTCAAATCCCTACATCACTGAATTGCCAGAGATACTGCCAAAACAGAGTCAAAACAGACACACAGATTCAAAGCCAGAAGTAATGACCGCATATTTCACATACATGATGTACCAGGACAAGAAAAGGACTCAACATTCTAAGTTCATACTTTTTCACACACAGAGACATCCCGAAATGACCTGTGTTTTCAGGAGCAAGTTAATTTCTTTATTGTAGGGCCTTTAAAACTAATCGTAACTTCCCAAAGCTGAACACAGAACTGTGTAGGGAGGCAGCACACCACATGCCAGAATCGTGTGGCACTGCTGTCCTTCAGGCTGGAGCTTGCCACATGCTGAAATTCCAGTATATGAGGTGTCTCCAGAGGTTAAATGGGGGTTGAACTCTTTAAAACAAAAATCATACATTTTAAAGTAATTAAATACTACATTTGATGAAGTGCCTTTTGATCATTATAACCTCTGATTTTAACCACTCTGACATCTCCTGCCAAGTATGGTTTTCTGATGTGACACATCATCATGGCACCAGGAATGGACTTGTTGATAAGTTAAATAATGGGACTACTTTCAGACCATTTTTGTAGCTGAAAATTCTCATGGCATAAAAAAGTCATCATACAGTTATTTCACTGTGGAGAGCTGGTATTTTTCTTAGGATAACTTTGAACTCTGTAGCTTTTGGGGAAGGGGGATGTTTTCCAAATAAAACCCTGCTTCCATTCTTCCCCTTTCTTCCATAGCTGGAATGATAACAAATTAATGAAGATATGTATCCAGGCAGATTTTAAACTTAGCCAGAGCATGTTACAAAATATGTTACAAAATCAAAACAAAGATCTTTAGCAAGATACAAAACACCACCAGAAAACCCCCCAAACAAACCAACAATGTACCAAAAGATACAGACTGAGGTTTTTAAAGCTGGGTAAGGGACTTAGCCACAGAAGTCCAAAAGTAATTGATTGTGTGGTTGATAATCTCAGTTTATCTGCCAAGTTAATTCCTGATAGAACTTCATTGTCTTCAGTGGAGTACCACTGGAAAAGTATTTGACAGCTAGTCATATATACTCTCAAAGAACAACTTCTAAGGCAGAAGGTTTAAACACGAGTGAATGAAAGTCCTGGGCCAAGTTCTACCCTAATTTAAACCCTGTACAAAAACAGCTGACTTGGGAGCAAGGGTGTAAAGAAAGAGACGTGAGTCTGTTCTTTGTTTGTTGGGACATTACATCAATTCCCTTAGGTAATGGTCATGTCTCTGAAAAACACAGTGGTAATCCAAATTACAGTTTGTTGGAGAGTCTTTCCTTCTAAGTCTGCAAGTTCTTGTATTTCACAAGCAGTAAGTGTTCAGGGAAGAGCCTGGACTAGTCTCAGTGGAGGACCGTGAAGTTCACTCCTGTTAGGTATGGCATCGATCTGAATCTTGCCTGCTTTGAGATGAATTTCATCTTTTTTTGTGGATAAGTACTGGGAATGGTCATTTTAATTGGAGCATTGGAATTAGTCACCTAATTTAATCAGAAAATAATGTGTTTCAGACATTCTCAACCTCAATGTTATTTTGAATCAAACCTCAGCATTTGGATTTTTTTTTTTTTTAGCGTGTTATTTTTGGCTTATTATTAGTATTAGAGTTAAGCATGTCTAAATAAGGCTGAACCTAAATAAGGTTCAAGCAGGGTGCACATACCTTTGCTAAGGTGAGAAGGAAGTAATGCCCATATCAACTCTTTTCTATGCAGCATTGCTGAGGACATGGGAAAGTTTTATTGCTTTACCCAAAGCATTGCTTATGCCAGTGGCTGAAATCTGAGTGCTACAGCCCTAAGTGCAGTGAAATCCTGATGTGTCCTTACTTTTGATTCTGCTGCTGGCAGAAGTTACTTCAGTAAAAAGTGAGGTAATCTGTCATAAAGTGAGCTCCATGTAAACAAAATGTCTCCACAGTAACACGCCTGCTCTGGGGAATCACTGCTAGGGCAGGAGGTGTGAGCCAGCAAACTGGTCTCTGGACTGACAGCCCAACCACTTGGATGCCCTTCCCAGCTCTCCTCTCATTGACTATTTTCAGTAAAATCAGACAACAGAGTCTCAACTGGGGGTTAGGGGCCCATCTGCTAAACACCCCTAATGCAGCAAAAATGAAGACGTTTCCCATTCAACATAGTTTGCAGTAGTTATAAACAGGAGAAACACTGCATCAAGAGCATCTCACATTCCTCATCCGTGAAAGGCAGCTGCTAATCTTCAATGCGCAGAATTGAAAGCTCCATAGGGTGTGCTGTGACCATTGCCATGACGGAGAGCAGGGGTATTTTGAGGAAATCGCCCATGCTGATTCCCAGAAGCTGGGAGGCTGAGCAGAGCCAGCCATGCAAGAGCAGAGCTCTGCATGGCACCAAGTTGTGTGCCCCCAAAATTGGCAGAGAGCACATGGAAGCTGATGCTTTCCCACTCACCTAGGGGGCTGGGCTGAAGTGGCATTTTCTTCCCTTCACAGGGCCCAAGCAAGCTGTATGCAAATGCTTTGTTACCTGTAGTGCCTAGTGAGTGACTTGCTGGGCTTGCTGTGCTCCCTGTTGAGACCTGCCAATGAGGGAGACTAATTGCCATCTGGCCCTGTGCATGGCAGCTGCCTCCCACCCTTCCTTGCCTTTCTTCAGCTCCCTCCTCCATATGTGATTATACCTGCGTATGTGATTATATATCTGTATGTGATTATAATATATCTCCCTGCTGGAGATTAATACAACCTACTTTTTCTCTCCTCACCAGAGCTTACATCTATGGTCTCTAATTTTTCACCCCTGCAGCATGAAACGTACCATTTCATTCTGTGTACATAGGTGAACTTCTCTTCTGCCAGCCTCACTTCAACAGCTGCAGTCCAGTTCCACCTTTCTTTTTTATTGCTTGTCACCTTCTCACCTCCTTCATTTGGGCTACCTCCAAAATCAGCTCTTTTCCCTCTTTTCCTTCAGAGCTGGTACTCTTTTTATCACCTGTCTCAGACATTAGTACTTGAGAGACTTTCTTCCAGTTCCATTTGTCATTTCCTCCTTTCCATCAATTTCTGTCTGCAAGGGAAAGGTTATCACAACAAAGTGAACCATACTGAAATATTAAAATAGCTGGCCAGGATGCCCCACTCTTCTGCCCTTTCTCTTTCTTCATTAACTACTCCAGGTCCAGGCACAGGCTTAGGCACTGCAATACAGATAGCACATCACTGCTTCTTCATAGTATGACTGTGGAAGAAGAAAAAGATGATAGTAAGGAGTCTTCTGAAAACATGTCAGGAGAAGTATTTTACAGGAATTCGAGAATCTATTATTGCAATTAGAGTCATGACCAAGCTCCCAAACTTTCGAAGCATCAAGATGTTTAAACTATTCTATCTGAAATAAATTCTGGGGAAGAAGTCCTGCTGCAGAAATCATCATGAATGGAAAGTAAGCTACATGGATCTTCTTGTAGTATAATGGCATCCAAATTAGGACTATGGGTTAAAAAGTTACTTTGGCTAAGAATTGCCTCATTCAGTCTAAGGGCCAAGGAGACAGTTTCTGCAAAGGCTAAAAAAAAAAATAAAAAAATAAAAAAATAAATAAAAAGTAGGACTTCCTAAAGAAAATAGAAACGTTAAATAACACTGATTTGAAATTGCTTCTTGTGTGATGATCTCATTTCCTTTGGATCAGCTTCTTTTTACCCCTCCAAGTGTGAGGTATACTTAAAACTTCCTGAAAAATAATGTTCTGATTGCATTTTAAAAATAGGTTCCAATTAAGCAAAGCTTGCTTAATTATATTTAGTCTGTAAACTGCTGCCTTGTTCTACTCTTAGGCACAGAAATCTGTGATGTGAGATATTCACACACCTTTCATTTTGAGGAGGATCAGAACTGGGTTTACTGTCAGCTGTAGAGCTGACAAGGAAAATTTTTCATATAGCTGAAATCTCTGCAGTCATAGCTAGTGCAGGGATATCTCTAGCTCCATTTTGGAAATGCAGAAAGGATTATGAATAGTTGGCAGTGGTGAACACTTTGTTTACACCCCTAGAAATTCAAGTCACTGCTGAGTTCTAAATTGGAACATAATCAATATCCTGACAAAACCTACATAGACTGTTTTTAAAGGGACTGGAGGGATAGAAAAGAATAAATATAAGAACATAAGTAGCAAGATTTTAGACCATAAAGTGCAAATGAGAACTAAAAAACTCAAAAAAACTAAAGCTTTATTTCTGCTTCTGCACATTCATTAATAGCGTTTGTGGACTGTTGATTTAAAATATTATAGCTGATTGCTTCAAGTGACAAGTAGGCAACAATTTATCTTCCACATTTTGCAAGGAAGGCGTGCAAAATACAGAAGGAAGCTATTTAGCCTATTATATGGTTACTTTAAGGTTTAAAATCTGAAAGGGAAGTTTGAGAATTAAATTATTTTGAACAACCTCTAGGTTTGAAGATTCAAAGCATCCTAGTTCAAAAACTTTCAACACTTTTTCCATTGGTTATGGGAAATCTAAAGATTCCAAAGTAGCGGGTTGTTGGTTTGATTTTTGTGTGTGGGCTTGTTTTAGGTTTTTTCACCCACTGGAAATTGGGTTGTTTTGGCTTTTTAGTAGTAGAAGGTATTTTGACCAAATAAAAAACCCAAAGTGGAAAATTGTTAGAGACTACCATCAAAAACCTCACAGTATACTTTTCCTGCATTGTTACATGCATAGATGATAAATCCTGTAAAGAGCTTTGGATTTTCTTCATTTTGTTTCCCCCCTCCAAAAGTGTGAAGTGGGGCACAAACAGAGAAAATGACCCAACTGCCACAATAAGTGATGATGAATTCTGTTCACAGCTCAGGGGAGCTGCTACGTGCCCATTGACACAGAAAAGTTTGCTAGGAAAGCTTGAAAACCCAGATGAGTTGATGGCTTGTGCATCTCACCTGGAATGTTTCTGTTCCTCCAGCTCTTGTTGTACGCTTCCTGACCAAACGGTTCATCTGGGAGTATGACCCGACACTAGGTAGGTTGCATTTTATTCTGTACACGTCGTATGCTGTATATAATAGTGTAGCTGAAGTAATGGAAAGTCATAGAGTTAAAATTCCAAGCCTCATTCAACCTTTAAATTTGCTGTAAAAAGCTTCTCTATGGTCATTTAAAGCTGGAACAAATTATTACCCAAGATGGGAGAATAGAGAAGCAGTACGATACTCAGACAAAAGCAAAATTAATATATGAGGCATATTTCTGCCCCCACATAAATCAGTGGGAATTTTGCCTTTAAAAGCAACTGCACTATTTCACTCTGAAAATTATTGGGTGTGCGATCAGTTATTTGCTTTTGGATAACCCAGACATTAGGTACTGGAGAATAAGGTGGGTGGGATACAGATCTCAAAAATTCAAGGGGGAAGAAGGGAGGGCAAAAAGTATGTATTTAAAGTCAGCCTACCTACACTTAGATAAGGTTTTTGTCCTCACTTTCAAACATAGATTGCATCTCACTTTTTGGGTGACCAGATAAACACATCAGTCATTCAAAGAGCATGCACATATCTCCTCTACTGCTCCTCCTTAGCTCTGTTGGGTCTGGCACTTCTAATAAGCTGGCACAGTTACCTCAAAAAAACATGTCGAACAAGTGCTCTGAAATAGTGGCCTTGCTTGAAAAGTTGGGCCAAAGTCAGATTTCATAGTATTTCCTAAGTTAATATGTATTTGAATGGTCTGCACCAGAGAAAATTTGGCCCAAGAAGTCCAAGATGAGGCACTCACTTCTTAGAAGGCAACTTCATTGCCTCAGGACTAAGTGATTCACACATGAAATAAGGGTCTAGTAAACTTCCTTTTCTCCAACAGTCTGTTGCCATCTCCTTCCTAATCTTTCTTTGGAGGTTCAAATACAGATCATACAGTTAAATACATATTTCTTTGTTAAGGTTCTGTCTCTAAGAGTGCTCACTAAAGATACAGACTATGCTTTACACTTGCACAGCAGAAACAAAGGTGAAAGTTTAATGCACTTTGTCGCAAGCCAGGCAGCCCATTCAGCAAAGCAGACTATCCAGTATCATACTAAGTATTTTCATCTGGTAAGATAAGGAAGTGACAGACATCAAAAATCTCATCTTGGGAAAATAATTCTCAGAACAGTCTGAACTCAAATAAATTCTTTTATCTGCTAATACCAACATACTCATCAGTGAATAATATGTCACCTGCTTTGTACTGCACAGCGGGATGTTTGGTATAATGTTCTGTTAGCATTATTAGTACTTCACATCTCATATCAGTACTTCATCTTCACATCACTAATATATCATTTTAAGAACTTGACAATAGAAGAGGTATATGAAGTGTTTTGTGCCAGTATAGTCCCAAGTTCATTAATTTCTTACAGGAACACTGTATGAAAAAGTGTCCTTGTTGCTTTGTTTAAGCACACAAAGCAAGTTATTAGCAAGCTGCAAGATTTATATATATATTTTTTTTTTTTTCCCCATTATGAAGGCTCTGGGCCCTTTTTGGTGTACAAGACTTGACATTTATTTCTGGTTTACAAATTAATACAATTGCTGATTTACCATGCTCCTGAGGATTCTAATAGTCTTCTGTTTGCAACATGGAAAGCCTTCATGCAGACAACAGTCCTACCTCAATAAAACAGAAATTAGATCTCTTCTGACTTACTGAATTCTACATTCACATTCAGTTTAGTGGATAACAGCTTAAATTAAGTATTACAGTCATCGTGAACTTACTTAAGTGCTTTGGGAAACTCAAAGCCTGATAAACTATTGGGAATAAGTTCTTTCTTAATCACAGTAATCTCTGCTGGAAGCTGCCTACCAGAGATTGGGTTTTATAAAGTATTTTTTATTATTATTATTTTCAAAACTAGGGATCACAACAGGATTCAAAGGAGGTGTTAACAAAAAAAAAAAAGGGAAAGAAAATCTCCTGAAATTGTAACCACTGTTGAGGTCTTCAGAGTCAGAAAGGGACTGTACCTTCAAAAGCTGTAAGAAACAGTGCTTGAAAGAATGTGTTTCTGCCTTTATTGTCATCATCCTGTGGTGATGTGGTGTCCAGTCACCTATAAGCACCACCAAGCTGAATTTCCTGAGAAGTTTTAGCATAACAGATTAATTTCTTCTTAACAGTCGTGGACTGGCAGTTGGATGGAAAGAGTGATACCTACATATTCCACCAACATAGAAAGTTTAAGTTGCATCAATGAGGCCTATTTGCCCTACAGGGAGAATAAGCAGCTTTGTTGAGTAATTTTGAAAGGACAGGAGTAAAACAGATGCAAACTATCCAGCTACTAAGCAAGAGGAGGTTTTGCCAAAAAATCACTGGGCCTGTGGCAAAAATGTCATATTTATAGTTTATTTCTTATGTTTTCAACCACCCAGTAGCTCTCTGATGCAAGGAATCCCCAGATAATTCCTGGGTTTAGGAAAGTTTTCACTAAGCTGTGCAAGGCCTGATGGAAGCTCAACATTACCCTAAACTAAGCATCAGGGTAAAAAACCTTGTCCACTTTCAGTTTAAGGGTGGCACATTTTAACTGGAAAGGAAAAAAAAACACACTTTATAAATATTCTTTACTACTCCAACCTGCCAGAAGAAAATGAAGGACCATATTTTTAGCAGCATCTGGATATACTGCTATATCTCCAGGAGCCAAATTACAAACCACAAAGTAACATTTTCTGCTGGGAGGAGCACTAATCTTGCAAGCTTTGGCATATGGGGCTGCTGCTGAAGTCAGGGCTTTGCAGCTCTGCCACTTCAGTGCACGATGCTGAATTTGTGCAAGCACCGGCCAGACAGCTGCATCTTCACAAAAAGTGAAGAACACTGTGCTGCTTATTTTACTGTTCTCAGCCAAGGGGTAACAACTACAGCAAAGGTCATTTTCTGGGGAGCCTTGACTTCTCCATCATTTCTGTTGATCTGGCAAGTCACTGTCACCATCTTGGCGTGTTTTCTCTGTTTGGCTGTTTGGTTGTTTGAAAAAGCTAAGTGGTTACCTGCCATTATCAAGGTGACTGACTTTCTACTTTCCATATTTATCTATAATGAACCACACAATTATTTCATTCATATGTGCGCAGCAGACTTGGAGGTCCAGCAAAATGTATAAATAGGCTGGAACTGCACACTGGAAAAATACATGCAGTTTTTGTAAATATACAAATTCAGCATTAATCTAGTCTTCTTTAGCTCATTAAATATGTACTGAGAAGGGGGATTGGGTTACCACATGGATTTCACCAAAATTAGTTAATGTTTATATGTTTTTAAATAGAACGCGACTTGGAAATTAATAAGCAAATTCAGTGTGATGTTTGGAGGCCTGAGAACACTTGGTCTAGTTAGGGTACCACTTAAGCCACAGCCTAAAAGCACTTCACAAACATAAGCGTCTACAGGATATTTAATATAGAACTGGAAATCTGTGCTGTATTTCAGTTTGGCTCTATTAAGAGATTTATAGAAGCAGCAAGAAAACAAGCATTCCTATGTTCAGTTTCAGCAACGCTTGCTGGAAGCAGGATGGCAGCAGGCTGACAGTTTGCTTGCCACCAAGGTGGCTTGGCTTGGGGAGAGCTTGCAGCCTGCAGCCTCAGGGCTTAACCACCTTACTGCTGCCAGAAAACCGTAAGCGTGTAAACGGTAATACCTTCCAGCAAGCACTGTCTCACAGATGGACCTACTCTAAGGGGATGAGTTTCAGGGTAGAGGTGCAAAGAAAGACCTTTATTTGGCCACCTGCCCTCTGTGGGTGAAAGCCTGAACACAAGACTCCCATGGACCTCAGTGACCCAGGGCTTTACACCACGATTTTCAAGGCTGCTGTGAATAGTTGCTCTCCTCAGTGCCAGCAAATAGTAGTAACAGTCTGGATCTAGCAATTTCCCCCATGAGCTAGTGGCAGTGTCCAGAATTTAGGGTGCCTTCACGTGACCTCAGAGATGGAGAGATATTGTGATTTTCCATCAAACAGGTGATACTCAATTGGTTTTAAAATTGGAGATGCTCAATCACACTAAGTCAGCAAGGGAACTGGTAAATCTATTGAGGACTAAGCCCAAAGAGTCATCACAGCAGTAGACAGACAGCGCTGATGGCCTGCAGAGTACTTACAAATCATAGAATGGTTATGCAAATTACAAATTGCTTGCCTCCATGAGCCATGGCACATAGGGAGAATCTCCTGGATTACACAATGAGAGAAAAAGAATCATCATAGCTATGGCCAAGTGGGTGCTCTTTAGCATTTCTCCAAGAACACATTCATTGTTCTGTCATAATCAGAACAATTCATTTACCTAGAAACAGCTGAGATATCCAAGGTTGGTTTTGGGGTTATGAACTAGGTTGTGTCATTTGTTCCAAATTAGAATTTTTATGTACAGTTGGAAGAATTGGGTGCTTTGAGGTGCAGGGACTTAGAATATCTATTTTTGTCACAAAAAACCACAATAAGCCCCCAAGGAAGTGCAGGAGCCAGGTTATTCAGTTCTTGTGTGATTCTGTGACTGATTGTTGCCTCTCTGCTTCTTACTTATAAAACCTTTCATCTCCTAGAAGAGTTGTAAATCCTTTAAGTAACTGGTACACATAGAGTTAAGACTCACATATCAAAGGTGCACAGAATCACCAAGCATTTCTCCAAAGACTGAATTTTAAATAGAAGTTTACATATAAAATAATATCAGCCGAGGAAATAATATTTTTGCTGACCTTTCTAAAAGTCACTTGGCTTTCTTGTGCTGTGCCTAGATGTCTTTCTCTAGCTGTTCACATATTTCATGTGACTTTGTTAATCCTCTGAAAGAAAAACTGTCTCTGAGTAGATAATCAGCAGAACAGTGCATGGCAGACTGGCCTGTCTACAAAGGCAAAGAAAAACAGAAAGTGTAGGAGTTTATTTAATTTGAATAGGATAGAGAAAAGACTATTCATTACTTTGAAGGAGCAGAGGTAACCATACAGAAACATGAGTCT